ATAGCACTTCGATTGTGGTGCTAAAACTGCCAAAAAAAGGATTTTTAAAAACTAAACAGCCACGTCTCTTTCCAGAAATCATGACCCGGTTACTCAAGATGAGTCAGACATCTTTGGGAGTTTCATAGGACATGTTTGGAGAACTACACCTGCCAAACTTAAGGAACCAAACAATTTGTAATATTCTTCCACTTGAGGGTTGTCAATCAAACCAATTACAAAAGACAGATTAATTCATTCTTCATCATTCAGGAGGTTTTTATCCAGCTAAATTATCAACAGTAGTCTCTCCCTCTCTAAAACCATCAGACCCGTTGAGCAGAACCAGTAAAACAATAAATATCATAAAATAACAGAGTTCTCTAAGTTTGAAAATTGTTGAATTTGGGATAATTGCAAAACTCAACAAAATACATAAGATAGTGCGGAAGAGGATAAGGTCCATATTCAAATAGTTTTTTATATCTGACAAAAAGCTAATCTTTCTTGAGAAAAAAAAATCTGAACTCTTAAATATTTTTTTACATGTGGCCATTATCTTCTTCCATAAGATACGCCTAGCCTTTTTAGGAAACTTTAATGGGGAAATGTTGGATATTTGTACACTCCCTTCATGTTAATCCTACAGAACAGAGTAGAACCTTCAGGAAGGAGCCTTCCTCTTTGACGCACCACATCACATCGCTCTGGGGAAACAAGCAGACCGGGGCAGATGCTTTAAAAACAACCCGCCCTTCCACCCCTGACAGAACTTGTCTTTGCTTTTCCTCTTCAGAAATGGGAGCAGAGAATATAAAAATAATAAACACAGTAACAATACAATTCCAGTTTAAGCTAAATATCAAACATGGCCCTGGAAGCAGCGCAGCAGAGGAGCTCTGCAGGATGTTCCACTCAGAGGCTGTGGTTGTGGCTGTGGAGCCAGAGGAACATCAGACTGGTAAGTGGAGGCAGATGAGGGTGCAGTACCCTCCCTCAGCTAGACCTCCCACTTTCACTCCCCCAACCACAGGCAGTTAAACCCTCGACCTCCTATTAACAGCGCTGTAACATTGTCCTGCTGATTAGACGTCACTGAATGAGAGCTATTGTTATCTTTTGCATGGCTAAGCTCCTTATGATACAAGAAAACATAATAATAATGTGTTTTCACAGTTATGGTTTGATCTCATGGTTTTCGTATAAAAAAACAGAGACCAAAGCAAATGTTAGAGTCTCCTTGTAATTTACCGTATCATTCTTATTTCGCCTGCAGCCTCTTTGAAAGTCACTCACCTCATCAGACCCTTAACCGCATCATTCATTTCTGTCATTCAGTCACAGAGATTTACCTTGCAACGCATTATTCTCTGTTTATGCCAGTGGGCCACCCAGTGGACAACAGCAGGAATTGCATCCTCTCTAATTTGAGCAAATGTGTTGGAAAGGTCTGGCATAGGAAGTCATAATAGTATAATAAACGTGTACCGGTATGTTTGTTCAACTTTTCAAGACAAAGTTACAATTATAATCAGGTGCTCGGAATACACATATGTTAAACAGATTCAAAACCATACAGCATTTACAAAAGGAGCTCCACATGAAAGTGTGAATAATAAGTAGAAACTAATTAAAATAATCAATTATATTAAAATGTGTAAATGTATTTTTATAAAAGTGTATTATTCAGCGAAAACATTGGATCCTACATAAAGAAAGTACAGCAAAAACAATGAAACAATATATAAGATAATTCAAATGTATAATAACCCCATAGTATATCAATGGGTTTTAAGACATGACTCGACAGATACAAGTTCAAATTCAGGCACAAATCATGTAAACAAACTTTAAACATTTTTTTGAAAGTGGTTACAGCACAGTTTAACATAAATAAAACGTTGCTACAAATCATTTTTGCTGAAACACATTAGGGTTTAAATAACCCTTTCCCATTTTTTTCAGATAAAGTTCACTGTTTAGTTAACATTATTATGTTACTTATTTTCTTGGAAGTGATTTATAATTTAGAAGAATCCGAAAATCAGGAATGACAAAACTCCACTTTTCAGCCCTTTTTGTGTGTAAGGTTACTACATGCACCAAGACTGCCCTCTACTGGGCTTCAGACAGATGTATCACATACACTTCGTTAAAGGGGACCTATACATATATTTGGGGTTTTCCCTTTAACTGCAACATGTATGTTTAAGATATATTTCCACCAAAGCAAAAAGGTATCTATTGGTGCTCTGCTTGAATGCTGCGTTTGAGTAATCCTTACTTTATTTACTAATTTTACATCATCAATATTCAATAAAAATATGCTCTCCTTCCTTCCCTCCTTCATTCCTTTCTTCCGTCCTTCCCTTCTATCTTTGACACACTCCAGCACCGTTCCACTAGACTGACCACCACATCCCTACCTTCCCGTTATCTGTGAGAAGTCATGCGGACTGAATAACTGATTTAAGGTAGCTCAAGAGAAAATCACATATTTGGCTTGCAGAGACCTTCCTTCTTCATCTCAGCTGCTGAATCAACTTTCTATATGTTGTTCTCCTCACCCCAGATACATTTCTCTGCTGTCCCCTCTTTTGTCAGATACTCAGCCATGTTTATGGCAGCAGGGCTACCAGCTGCCGTGTTGACCCTTCCTGCTCCTTCAAACCATCACTGCTGCTCCGTTGTAACATACATCTGATTCTCCAAGACATGTGGCCATCTGCAGTCAAACAGAAAGTGCACTTCTCCAAGATGAGGCCAGCGTTTGACCCATCTGTCAGATGCTGCCTTTAATTTCTCACTGATTCCAACTGTCGGCCACAAACTATTATGGTTTCGATGCAGGTACTTTGATCTTTTCACACTCACAGTCTCCTGCATGAATTGTCCTTGCCCTTCTGTGGGATATCTTTAGTTCTGCGGGTCCCCATATGTTGCTTGTCCTGAGAGTGTGAATATTCTTGTCACATGAATACCTGTGAGATACTGAGAGCATTATAGGACTAGTAAAACGTCCACAAAAAAATCATTACTTTTTGTCATTTAAATACACTTTCTAAATACTTTGGAGTTTTTACCAAAGTACAACTTTGGTGCATGCAGGTGTTCTTTTTTTTACCTTATTGATGCTGCGTTTCTGATTTCCATGAACTTACGTGGTCATTTCTTCTTTTTCTTTTGTATTGCCTGATCTCATACTGCCTGTGCTGCAGCGCCTCTTTTCACACTCTGTCTGAAACCAGAACCCAGTCTGCTCTGATTGGTTAGCTGGCCGGCTCTTATGATTGGTCAACCTCTTAGAGATGTCCAGCCTCTCACGTATATTGTGTTGAAGTGCTAGCCAATAAAAGCATGCGTGTTACATGACGTCACTATGTTGCAGAAGTAAACAAAACATTCCAATGGAGGCGTTTCAGTCAAGGGGGGGAGTGGGTAGGAGAGAAACTCCCTCTGGAGGGAACTTATATCCTTTGGAGACCATTTACATGCACCAAAACCTGTATATAACACAGTACAGGAAAGGGAAAACCCCCTTAAATCATTATAGAGCCTCTTTAAATAACCTAAACAGAATTGTGACGTACTAACTAGGGCAGTGGCATTTACATTTAAAGGGTTCAATGAATATATACAGAAGCAGGTGCAGTATGTCGTGTGTAGCACTTGAACTAACTGGCAGGCATCACTTCACTTTCAAACTTTTTAAACTGTCTCTATAAATACTGAACTGTACCCCACACCAAAGACTCTGTTCACATAGCCAAACATGAGAGTGACCTGCCCTGTCTTCAACCTCCTCCAGTACACTCTCTCTCTGTTGTTGTTTGTATCTCATTTAAAGCCTTGGAGCCGAGGCACAGCACTGCCAAAGGAGCTGCAACCCCAAACCTGCCAGCAATGATCCAGCCTCGGACTCGGCCTCTCTCCCCTCCGGCTGTCTGAGGATGGAGTGACTTTCCCACCATGCAAAGACCTCAGAGTCACATTCTGTCTTAAGGGGGTAATCTGAAATTCTTGTTGTCACAACCCCTTGTGTGATTTTATCCAAAAAGGACTTCATCAAAATAGAATGTTCCACTGCATATTGTGACGATTCCAATCAAATCAACAGCAATATACTTCGCTCTGATGCTGTCTGTTCAATATCAATATATAAATAGCTCTGCAGCAGATGGTTTTTGTGTATCTGTAATTATTGCAGGCATCTCAAGGCTGTTAAGGAAACACTAGCCAACAACACATCAAACAGGTCTCCATAGCCACAGTTTGGTCTTATAGATAGATACAATTATGTTAATTTGAGTCTTTTTCCAGGAGCTAGCAGTCTGTTCTGTTTCCTCCTTATTGAGCATGAAGGCTCACAGTTTTCTAAGCCTCATCTGAATGTAATTTCAGTATTGAGAATGAACAGTAAATAAGCAAAGTCTTCTGTTTTGTGGGGGAATCAATAATCGATGCAGATCAGTGGGTACACTACTTCACAAACAAGTTGATGGAAAAACTAAGAAGGGTCATATGGGGTGTGTTTACACGGAACCTCCGACTAAGAGGTACAACCCAGGTGAACAAATACTGCAGGAAATACAAGTGGTTTCCATAACAACACTGCCTGGTCAAGGTAAAACTTCTTAGCTGCTGCCCAAACTTTCATGTTATGGTCAAATCAGCTCTCTTGGTATAGCAACCTAGTATATATACAGTCCATACTACTTTCTCTAAGTCTCTTTTATCCATTAAAAAAGCAAAAGTCCAAAACAAAAAACAACAAAAGACAAATCTGCTGTCCCTTTCTTTTTTGTAGGTGCTCAGTGCTCACCTGTAATCACATACTGGGGAACAAAAAAATAAATAAAGGTAATGTGATGAAGCGTGGTGACAAACCATGGCTGACACATCATCTCTTGCTTCCCCCCCCCCTCCTCTCCTCTCAGGGTTGGGCCAAACAGCAGGTGGTGCAGAAGAGAAGCCCGGACATGGGATTTACAAATCTGTGGCTCTCCGACTTCTGTACCAGACAGACCAGCATGGAGGAGCAACAAACCCCACAATTAAAAAAGTAAGTGCTGCTTTTGACGTCTCTGCTATTGTTTGTGGTCATTTTCAAGTTTTTAAATGTAAGGTCTTTCTCTAACTGCATGCAATTGTTAATTTACAGTTAATTTAAATGCTAGTGTCTCTGTAATTCTGTTGCATAATGAGTTTATTAGCTTTTTAAAGCTGTAGATTTTGCTCCGTTAAATGTCTGAAGTAGCTTTGTTTTTAATTTCCTGGAGAGCACTTTCCCATACTGTCAGATCTCACTAATTATGGTGGGAACTATTCAGATCCAAACAATCTCAGAAGAAAAAAACATTACAATATTATTTCAATGAGATGTGAATTATCCTGGATATTAAAGAAAGATAATCATTTGTTTAATTAGAGGAATATTTCACTGTATATTGATGCAAAATATAGGAAGGGTGGTGTGATGCTTATTCCTTTATTGAATGTTCTCTTTGTAAGAGTTTTAACCTATAATCAAATGTGTCTTCCGTGTGCTGAATTACTGCTGTGAAGACTACTGCTGTTAAGAACGCATTCATATTGCAGGAGGAAATAAAACCCTTAGGGCTGTGCATGTTTGCCAACGGTCCCGTTTGCCTAACATTGTAGTCGTCTTTCCTATCCCTGGGGAAAGTCAGAAATCCAGAGCCTGAAATTCTTCGACAAATGAAGAGAAAGTAAGCATCGTAAAACTATTGCAGTTAATATACAACAAAGATGTTATATTATATAATATATAACTGAGATGTATGTGTCTGGACTGGAACCTTCCAAACACAGAGGTTTTTTCAATTGTATTGAAAATATGTGTCACCAATTAAAAGTAATTGAGTGTGGACGAAAACCATCTCTGCACCTGTGATTGGCCAAGGATTTCTAAGGAGGATTTCAATGCATCTGTTTAAGTCTGAAGCTTGAATGTTAATGTGCTAACTGATGTCTGCTGTTTATTTCAGACACCTTTAAACTTCTTCTTTCCAAGTGGACTGCTGTCTTCTTCATCTAAGGGGTGTATTTTATTTAACAATGCTATACCTTGTAGTTGTTCTTATTTAGAATTGCTGCTTTTTCCAAGTCTGTGCCCCTAATTGTCTGTCATGTTCTGATTTGTTTTCCTTCTCTCCACAGCTCAGGTGTCACAGCAATAGCGTCTCTGGCCGAGGCTCGCTGAATAAAGATGCTCACGTACTTGGATGGACAAATCGGATGACTCAAAGGAGGAGTCGGGTTACGACAATTTTCAGACATGGAGGTGCTTTTATTTCGTGTCTGGAATCTATGTGTGGATGAACCTTGATGTCAACATGAGGTCAAGGAAACCATAACTTTTTTGGCCCCACTCACCTGACTTCTGTCAGCATGCAAACGCTGCATAGATGATTCACCCTGTAAAGAGACATCACTGGGAAGGAACAGGGTCTAATGATGTAGCATCAACAGGGGACTTACATGTGGGCTATGATTCAAGACAGTCCCATCACAGTCAGTATGGAAGTGCAGACAACCTCTCTGGTCTGGATATACGTTAACACCACAGTGAACACTTCATATGAGTACAACGCGACAGATTTGACCGAAGACTCAAACCGATCTTACACCATCGGCCTCTTCCTGTCCTGCCTGTACACCATCCTCCTCTTTCCTATTGGATTTATCGGCAACATCTTAATCCTGGTGGTGAACCTGAACCACAGAGAGAAGATGACCATCCCCGACCTTTACTTTGTCAACCTGGCTGCAGCCGACCTCATCCTGGTGGCTGATTCCCTCATTGAGGTCTTCAATCTGAACGAGAAATACTACGACTACGCCGTCCTCTGCACCTTCATGTCGCTGTTCCTGCAGGTCAACATGTACAGCAGCATCTTCTTCCTCACATGGATGAGCGTTGACCGATACATTGCCATAGCTAGCTCCATAAGCAGCAGCCCTCTGAGAACTATGCAGCACGCCAAGCTCAGCTGCGGCCTCATCTGGATGGCGTCCATCTTGGCCACGCTGCTGCCCTTCACCATCGTGCAGACGCAGCACAGGGGCGAGGTGCACTTCTGCTTCGCCAACGTCTTGGAGATCCAGTGGCTGGAGGTCACCATCGGCTTTTTGGTGCCCTTCACCATCATTGGTCTCTGCTACTCTCTAATCGGGCGAATCCTCATGAGGGCGCAGAAGCACCGAGGACTGTGGCCCAGGCGGCAGAAGGCCCTGCGCATGATCGTTGTGGTGGTTCTGGTGTTTTTCATCTGCTGGCTGCCGGAGAACGTCTTCATCAGCATCCAGCTCCTGCAGGGCACGGCGGACCCCGCCCAGAGGACAGCTACCACCCTGTGGCACGACTACCCGCTCACAGGACACATTGTTAATCTGGCAGCTTTCTCCAACAGCTGCCTCAACCCCATTATCTACAGCTTTCTAGGAGAGACGTTCAGGGACAAGCTGCGGCTCTTCGTTAAGCAGAAGGCCAGCTGGTCAGTGGTGAACCGCTTCTGCCACCACACCCTCGATCTACACCTCCCTGTCAGGAGCGTGGTGTCAGAGGTGTGACTGATAGGAAGAAGGACAAGAAACTCACAAGGTGTGCTAAAAACTCTTAACATTTCACCCAGTGTGAAAAATAACCTCAGCTTTCTTCATCTGGTATGCCTCTCAGTTAACCTGCTCACTTTCTGAACAAAAACACAAAAATATACACTCAAGTAAGAATGGGAATGACTCATGTTGTGCATCCTTTTAAGTAGATTACAATGCACATAAGGTACTTGAAGCTATGTTCATGTTTTCATACATGTTTCATTATTTACTTTTATTTAGTTTTCGGTGTGTGTTTTTTTCTTCAAAAAGTGTGTTTGATGGCAAGGAGCAAAATGTCAGCTTCTGTCCTTTAAGGCGATGGATAGATGAGTGTCAGAGGACAACAGCTTTTGTGTAAGACGGAAAATAATAAGTGATCTGTCATGCAAAATAACATTTTCTGGCTCTTCAGTTAAACCCCACATGGAAACACCTGCATAATGATGTATAACCTACTAGGGCTCCAACCATTAGTCAACTTATTTTCAGAAAAATAATCACCAACGTCTTTGATAATTGGTTAATGGTTAAAGTTGGTTTGCATGCAAAAATTGCCAAAGGTTATGTTTTTAGCCTCTCAAATGTGTTTCATTTTATAAAAAAAAGGGAATATATTTAGATTTTGGACTGACCAAACTAAATATTTACATACATCACCTTGAAATTAGAGGGATATAGGGATGGACATGTTTCCAAATAATCAGCAGATGAATTGAAAATGAAAATAATATATAATGTAATACACACCATCAACACCATCATTGACAACATGGCATTACAGGTAGAAAAAAACCCAAAGAGGCAACGAGTAGCAGTGACTTTCTTTTCACTGTAAATATAACTGTACCCCTGTCTGTTTCTCTTCTGTTGAACGGAAATATCCTTTTGTAAAGCTAAACATATGATGGAAAATGCACAAAAATGTGTTTTATTTTTTAGAAATAAAGAAAATATCCCACTTTTCCAGGAATATAAAATGGAAGTCTTTGTGTATGTCTTCGAGTATTACACACATTAAATAAAGGGTATCGTAGCTACACCCTTTATTTTTGTATGTGTTATTTTTAGCATTTTGGTCACAGCCTGTCTTTGAATCTGTCCAGAATCTGATGTCTGAGCTCATCTATATTATGGAATAAGATATTACCACACTTGTCAGCTCCTGTTAGCATGATGATAAAGAAAAGAAGCAGGTGTTGCCTTGCCAGGAGGGGATCATAATGCCTAAACACATCCTTCACTGTTGACAACGTGAAGCTGCTTCCATTTTTTGTTCTTATTTAAAGCATATAACACTGATAAACTGCAATAGCCAACCAGACATGGGCCTGTGACAGAAAAAGCCACCTCAAAAATACTTCATCTTCACATGTGTGGCTTGTTCTCCTATCTGTAAACGGATTCCACGAATTGTTTTTATCAAATGAACAGAAAAACTAAAATCTAACATGAGACATCAAATACCAAAGGCCAACTGTGGACGCGTGGATTCTTCCATCATCATGTAGAGTTTGATGAAATGCTTTTGACAGAACAAAGATGCTCATTAGCACATTGATCAGAGGTTAATGTAATGCAGATTACCCGGCTACACAGGTGCAGCTTAAACATTTGAAATGGTCTCGCATCAGAGGCTTTAATGAAACCTGCTAAAAAGTTTAACAACCTCAAACTGTTTATTGAACATTATAAATTCCTGTTTTCTACTATATTACAGTGCTTTCTCATGTCAAATTGTGCTCAGATGCATATGCATTTCTTGAATCATAACAGGGTTTACAGAATATTATCTGTTTGTTATATTCTTAGAACACCGACACAGCATGTGGTTTATGTGCATTGACCTCAACAGGTGGATGTATTATGTCACAACCATAAAAGAGTCCACAAAACGGTATCACGCTCAGATTGAGCATTGTGCATCAACATATAAAAGGTGTATAGCCAGTCTGCGGTAGGCCTGCATGAGGCAGTTAGAGATAATGGCGTGACTTGGAAAAACAGGAGTCCAAACCACAAACTGTTATTCCAGCTGTAACAGTTCCTGCAGCCTGGGAAAGCAGCGCTGAGGATTGTTTAAGTGATTGTTTATGAGAGGCAAACTTGTTGTGGTACATGATGCTAAAGATTCTGTGTCCCATCTCCGTATCATGCAGGAAAGCATTCAGCATGTTTTCACAGTTTTTAAACCTTGGCAAAGACAATATGTATTTTTTAAATTTGGATTTAGTGCAGTCTGAATACAGCACGTGTCTCTATCAGGGCCCCAGACGGTACACAAAACAGGAAGACAGGGAAGTAGTAGTCCAATGAGAGCTGTCATGTTCTCTGAGACAAAGTAGCAACACCTAGAGGCCATCCGAGTCCGACAAGGTGTAAGAGACAAAGGATCATCTTTACGTCACACATACATACAAAGACACACACACACACACTGGAGATGCTGTGAGAAGAGGTTGACAGTGGACTGTGTGTACAGCTGAGAGCTCTGAGTGAGGTCAAAGGTTTGTGGTGGCTGACGTCACAGAGAGTAGAGAGGGTGTGACTTTTCCCCTCGCTCGCATTACTTCCTCTGGATGATGCAGGATACACATCTATCTGGTTAAAGAAAATAATGCTAAATAATTACGTAATTCATGTAAAAATATTGGGCAGATAAGCAGCAAAATGATGATGATACCAAGCTTTTTTCCTGACTTGGATGAAAAAGTTGTTGGTAAAACTATTAAAAATAGTATTTTTGCAGGCTTATGGGTACATGTATGCTCATTGTACACCAGCTGCTGTTGCTTCAACTAATGTAAGTACAAATATACTTTGTGCAGATGCAAATATACACAGTGGCCAATTTACTAGGTGCAAAACAAAGGGATAATGCATTAAGTGAGGGAAAAAAACACAAGTCTTGATGTTCATTTTTTGTTCAGAGAGGTATGGATAAAGGCAGATTTTTGTTGTTCTATATTTTGTCACTTTAATTCATGTTAATGAATATAGAAAACATCTTCCGAAAAATTAAACATTTCATAGCAGAGCTTTTGTATCGCATACAAATTATATTGTAGAATTGTATCTAATGAGCTGGCATCTAATTGTGCACACCAAAACAAACCAAATGTAATATAATTCTACATAAAGTGATTAGACTAAATGTTTCCTGCCTTAGAAAGTTACTGGACATCCAACTGTAATCTGAGTGGGGGTGGGGCATGTCAAAGTAATTACAACAGGACAGTCCAGGGTTTATGCATAATTATAAGGCTGTGCACCCGGAGGACCTCAGCAGCTGAATAATGGATTAAACGTATAATTGCATTTGTAAATTAAAATCCTATGCAGGAAAAAAGACCTGAATAGAATAATTATCTTCCCAGATACAGAGGAGAAGAAATAGGGTTGGTTTTTAAAGGCTTCAGGCAGAACCCATCAAATATATATATATAAAAGTAACCACATTCTTAGAACAGACATTTGGAAACTTGTATTTGGAGGCAGCAGATTGAAGTATCTACTGTGCATTGTCTGCCAAACCTGCATTTCCGTTTAAAAAAACACTCATATTACATACTTTCCAAGAATAGATCACCTATTTAAAAATAATTAAAGACTTGTATTATAAACACATGCATTATTAAATAATGTGAAATGATTTTACTCTTTAAAAATCTGTTATATTTAAACTAAGCATAATCACTGACATAAAAACAAATGAAACACATAAAGAAAAGAGAAATATAATAACAGTGCAATGAGCTACATAAAGAAGCCTCTAAAAGAGAAAACCTGAAAAGCTTTTACACCCCTCCCCCCCCCCAGTTTATACAGTCTAACATCTAACAGTTTATGTTCAAGTAATTCAAGTGTTTGAAATAAATGGGGTTATTGTTATATTCCTTAATTGTACTATAATTAAATATAACAGACCATTCAGGCAGAATGTGTATTGATAGAGATAAAGTAATCAGCTCCAACAAGCCAGAGGACATAAACACGGTGTTGTTTGCAGCGCCCCCTGCTGCTCTGATGCAGTGTATGCGGACGTGCATGCATGGACGCGAGCAACAGATCCGAGCGCATGCGCAATTCATTGTTTTGACTGAAAATGCCGTCGGTTTCGAAAACGGCGGCCAATGCGTCTCCTCAAACCGAGAAACCTACCCACTATACGTGAGTAAAGCTGCTGCAAATAAACAACTACATGGCTCGTTGAAGAAAATATTTTTTGCACGTGCACATATGCGCGTTTGCATTTCTCGCATTCCTCAACTCTTATGTGTGCGTTGAAAACATGGTGCTTTTCCAGGCTTTGTGACTACCTAACGTCACATAGCAAACAGCGACTGCACGCTAACGACACCAGCCCTAATGTAGGAAACACGGACGTCTTAAATCGCTTAAGTGTCAAACCATGCGTTAACGGAATCGTTTATAACTGTTTTACCGAGTTGGGGAACTGTTTTGAATAATCTTTTGAATGTTAAACCGTCAACTTGGTCTGCTAAATGATTAGCCAGGAACTCGCTAACCAGTCTGCTTGTAAATAGCTCGGCCTTATTTTGAGTTCCCCCGTGCTACGCACATTTATAGACGTACGCTCATGGACATTCAACAAGCGTTACGTCCAAACACTAACGTAGTTTGCTCTCTGAATAGCAAGCTTACGTTAGTGACCCAAAATATATAGTAGGCTACAACACTAGCTGCATACCACGACACAACACTGTCTTTAAACTTTTTTCCCGCTTTTGACTTATTTCATAATGAGTGTTCATTTCAGAACGCGATTCCTGAGACTGTTAATTTTGCTTTTCATTGTTTCAGATACTTGAAGGAGTTCAGGACAGAGCAGTGCCCGTTGTTCCTTCAGCACAAGTGTACGCAGCACAGACCCTTTACGTGTTTTCACTGGCATTTTCTCAACCAGCGGAGAAGAAGACCTATCAGAAGAAGAGACGGAACTTTTAACTACAGCCCTGACGTGTACTGCACCAAATACGACGAGACCACAGGCATCTGCCCGGATGGAGATGAGTACGTTTCAGTCTTTTCATGAAAGCTTCAGTGCGTTTTTATGCAGCTGCTGACTGATGTTTTGCTGCCATATTTGGGATGAGAACCTCTGTAGATTTAGGGAAAAATATGTTATCAAACTGATGCCACTAAAACATTCAAAGCACAGGAAATGTCATAAAGTATAAAAACGTTCAGGTGTCCCTTAAATAGGTTTGGGTTTGGATGTGTCTTAATTGGGAAGAACTGTGTGGATGGATATATATATATATATATATATTGTTTACTTATTTGTTTTATATAGTGAGTTTGACAGTATTTGAAAAAAACGTTATGACTTTTTGTTGTGTTATTGTATAAAGATCAAGGGAAATGTGTTATTAATTTAATAGGGATGCACAAAACGAAGCCATTAGGTCTGCAAATAATAATCTTATTATTATCATTAGTGGTTAATCTACTTACTATTTTCCCTATCAATAGTTTTGTCTATGAAATAGTAGCAACATCTGTTCTCTCCAGTTTAGTCATTGTCCAAAGTGATATCTTTAAATGACAACTATATTCAGTTTACTATTATTTAAAACAAAGAAACGAGAAATCTCCATATTTGAGAAGCTGCTTTTTCTTGAAATTCTGATGTTTTGAATTAAAATAACTGGTAAATAAATTATCAAAACATTTTTTTTTTTCTTGCTATAAAAACAGATGATAAAGTGTACTAAGTTCTGCCCTTTTGCTACTCTCAGTATACGCCCTAAATACTGCAGATTGCTTGAAAGTAGTGCCTACAGACAGAATGTAGTGTACACTATATTCAAGTGTAACAGTTAGTCTTTCCTGACATGTTAATAGCACAGGTTGACATTGCAATGACAATTTACAAAAAAAATACTTTTAAACTCTACTTTGCAGTTCTACAATGAAGCTAACTGTTCTGCGGAGATGTTTGCCGGGGACTAGGAGCATGTGTTTGTCAATTTGGATTGAAAATTATAGATTAAAAAACATGTTAATTATATCAGCTTGCTGTGGCTTTAGTAACACTGCAGCATAAACAAGCTCTGTGTGTTTTAATGACATATGTGCAGATCAGCTCCAGCCAAGAGAGGACTGTGTCAGTTATAATCATAGACTCCTGTCCGGAAAAGAGTGCTCTAAAGATGAGATAGAAAAATGGGTGTATTATTTACTAAAGTGAGGAGTGCTAGATATGCTGTTTAGCCATATTTGGTTGTTGCTTTGTGATCAGTATCACAATATCAGTATCAGTATTTTTTTCTTCTAATGTGATTTGATGCACGAAAATGTTCTCCCCTACAATAAGACACCAATTTAGTTTCCTTTTTTCTTATTTGTGACCACATAGTCTCCTTTGTTCTGCACATGGCATCCTTTGCATCAGAGTGACAGGCATTGAACTCACTATAAAAGAGGTCAAGCATTATAATAATAAATATGAACGTAACTGAAACAATATATGGTATCCCTCCTAAGGATGCTGCAGTTCTCTCTGTGTGACCAGGAATTACAAATTGCACAGCATATAATAGAGCCCAACATAAAAAACAAAAATAACTATGATTATTGGACTAATGGAAAATGAACGTCTGCCGTCCTTACAGTTCCTCCTCTGCCAATGGCAGCTTTTTTTGTATAACCTTTTGTGTTGCCATAGCAACTGTTGCTACTCAAGAAAGGGAAAAAATTGTTTATTCAAGAGGCTTATTGGCCATCCATTTCTTGAGGCGTTGCTAGTGTGTCAGCCCTGCAAATGCAGTAGAATCTGTTTAAAAATGTGTGCAGCCATAAGAGAACCCTATTTCTAATTACAATTCAATATAATAATAACTCTATTTTGATTGGACCATATTTTAAATGTCTGTGCAGTGCTTAGCTATTGTGTTTTCACATGATATAAGATATGATGCTATAAGTACTAGAAGAATCTATTACTTTTAGGAGCATTGTTCAGTGTTTTATTATTTTTTCTCCGCTGAAATATTAAAATGTTGTTTCCTTGCGTCCTTAGCTGTCCTTACTTACACCGGACCACGGGCGACACAGAGCGAAAGTACCATCTACGCTATTACAAGACCGGCACTTGCATCCATGAGACAGACGCTCGAGGGCATTGTGTGAAGAATGGCCTCCACTGTGCTTTCGCTCATGGGCCACATGATCTCCGACCTCCAGTCTATGATATCAGGTGACATATAAAGCAAATAGTGGCCTTTCTATTCCCTGCCAAACTTTGAACTCACAAAGGAACAGACAAATCAGCCAACTTGGATGTAATGTCAACAGAATGTCCTTAGTAATTAATGGATTTACAGACTCACATTTGAGTCTGTAACACTGTTTGAAGGGCTTGGTTTAGTGAATATAAAAAAGACAAATAGCTGCATTCAGCTCTGTGCTGCTGAAGGAGTCTGAGTGAGTTTATCTGATACCATGATACCAAAACAAATGCTGGTACATCTGCCTGTAACTTATTATATTGAAGATAAACTTTAGTGTACCACAGAGGTGGACATTTGCAGCCACAAACACAACATTTCACAAAGAAATACACATACATACATACACAGCTGCCAAACTAAGCAAACATAAAAAGTAAACCCATTCAACAGTTGTTATAAAACCTTTAATAAAAACAATTATCATCCTGTGCCCATCCCTTATTGACCCACCGCTGTTTTTTTATACCGGATGGTTATGGAAGAGGTTAAGGGCCACATGTACATATATTTTTGATCTGACCAAAAGTTCCTTTTTTTTTGAGAATCACAATTTTGACTCCAAAAAAACCTTCACTTTTGTTCAGATCTCCTAAAAAGGTCTCATGTGGCCCTAACCCTCTGATGATGGTCCAGTATAAAGTGTCTCAAATTTTTTTTTTCTTCTCTATAGTATTTCAAGAATTAGTTTCAGCAATGATCACTTGTATAAATGTACAGTGTTATGATAAACATTAAGAGAGGCCAGTGATTCATTAATTTAGCATAATACTATATTTAACTATTTTTAAACGACAACCAATATTTGTATGCTTTTCGAAGCAATAGGGATGGAACTAACCTTGGTTTTATGTGCACAGAGAGATTCAAGCACAAGAAGCCCTTCAGAACGGACAGCTGGGATCTGGGGAAGGTATTCCTGACCTGCAGCCAGGAGTGTTAGCCAGCCAAGCTATGATCGAGAAAACTCTGACAGAAGACCCCCGCTGGCAAGGTGAGTTACCCCCCCCCCCCCCCGTCATGATAACCAGCTCATGCAACAGGTAACACACTTCCTGCAAAATAAAAATAAAATGACATCAATTATTTTTGCAGATACCAACTTTGTTTTAGCCAACTATAAAACCGATCAGTGTACAAAGCCCCCCCGACTATGCAGGCAGGGCTACGCTTGCCCCCACTACCACAACAGTAGAGATCGGAGACGAAATCCAAGAAAGTTCAAATATAGGTAAGTTATGATGACAGAGTTTTAGAATGAGAAACAGGGTATTGAGTTGTATGATTGTAACGTGTTAAATGTTCTCACTGTGATGCAGGTCGACTCCCTGCCCTAATGTGAAACATGGGGATGAATGGGGCGAGCCCTCAAAGTGTGACAGTGCAGACAGCTGCCAGTACTGCCACTCCCGCACCGAACAGCAGTTCCACCCAGAGGTGAGGGACACTTCTTAAAATAACATACATCAATTCAAAGGGTTTATTGTCATATGCACATACGCTACAGTGTAGAAACGGCAATTCAATTCTTCTGACTCCTCCAACGATGCAACATATAATAAAATAAGAAGAAGTCTATATACATGTAAATAGAATATGATGTTTACAAGAAAAGAATATGAAGTCAAATATTGTAGAATAAGACTAAATTAAATACGGTTTATTGCGGTGATAACTATTTAGATAAATAAGTAGATTGCAAGATGATCCTAGCTTTCCTTTTACAATAATACATTTGAATTACAATACTCAAGCCTTAAAATGGACTAGTTACCACAACAACCATAATTAAATAATGTGTAGTGTGAGAAATGTGTAATCCTGCAGTTTTAAGATATTGTATTTATGGGGTTTTATTGTTTTGATAGTATCGTTGTGACTGACTAGTTTTTTGTAACTTTGTAACTCATTGTCTTTTTGATTTGTCTGTTTTTCTTCCTATCAGATCTACAAATCAACCAAATGCAATGATATGCGACAAACCGGATACTGTCCCAGAGGACCGTTTTGTGCGTTTGCACACGTAGAAAGTAAGTCAAAGTGTATCTAAATACTGTCACAGTACTCTTGAAAACAAATGAGTTAATATATTATATATATACACACCTGTCAGATAATTGTCTTGGTTTCCCCAAATGTTCAAATATGCACTGTTAACATTTTAAACATATAGGTATTATAAAAGCCTCTTTCTTAGTTAGTTGAAAGAGAGAATAAGTAAGGAAATAGTCTTTATTGGGGCCTTTTATGTTCAGTTAAATGTTCAAGCTGTTTAATATTTTCTTTTTGTATTATCCTCAATACAAGGCTAAAAAAAGTAAACTTCAATATCAGTTAAAAAAAAAAGAAGCAAATAAAATTGTTATTGCGATATTCGGCTACGTTAGCATTTTTCATTTGCCATGCAGCCTTAGCAACAAGCAATGTTGTCGGAATGTGGCTGTTGGACATCTCGTTGTTTATGCTATTTTCATTTAATCATTAATTATACTCCCGTCAGGAATCCCCTCCACAGAGGAGACCATGAGCTCCCTGCTGACAGTGATGCAGTCCAGCTCTCAGTCCCAGCTCAGCTCTCAGTACTCAGAGTGTCCCGTCAGCGAGTGGAACAGCGGGGGCAGCGCAACCAGCAGCAACGGACAAGTAGGAAACGTATGTTTTCCCGTTGCTATGTCACGACTTCAAAAGGAAATTCAACAGAATAAACACATACATGGTTTTGTATTTCAAGAGAACACAAATCCCTAAATAACAATTCATCCGTTTAGCTGTTATGTTGTTTACCATGCTCTCATCTTTCTGCTGGCATGTATTGATTTCTCATTATTGTTTTCCGTTACGTCATTGCTTTTGATTGTAAGACCATCATTCTAAGCTATTCATTGTTACATTCTCACTCTAAAATAGATCGATTTAGAATATTGGTTTTATTTATTTATCCATACTTTGATCATCCTTTCATTAAGACCATGTGCACTTCTCTTTCTCAGGTTTCATGTTCTAATAGCTCGACTGTAACTCCAAGCTCAGGAAGCGACAGTTTGTTATCCCCAGTGGGATCCATCAGCAGGCCTAACCCCTTTACTGATAGTAGTTTATGTTCAGAGTCCACCACATCCAGTGTCTCATCTCTGACGTCTAACTATCCCAAAGCTCCGGGCTTTGAACGAGAGGACCAGGTATACAGACTCTCCAGCTTTAGGAAGGCTCTAACACACAGACACAACTCAGGGCTTTAATGCATCACTGTCATTCCTCTTTTAATTCAATTTGTCATTTATCATTCATGTCATTTTTAATTGTATCACTTTGAGACTAATGTGTCGGTTGTTCTTTATAAAAAAAAAAATGCAATGTATCTTGTCACTTGATGAGAGCATTGAGTACCTTTATACATGAGTGACTTGAAAAAAACACATTGTTGAGCCTTGTTGCATGTTTTTTGTAATCAATGTCACATTTAGTCAACATGTGAGAACTTCAAGCTTGCAATCAGGCTGGAAAATCTGTCCTTTGTAAGACTACACTCAGAATTGCCCTTAGGTTGAATTCACTTGTCTCTGCTTCACTGTTATTATAAAAGAATGTGTAATCAAAAGCAATATGTTTGAATATAGCAAGAATCATTGCAAATGAAAAGTTTGTGATATTATGATTTATTGCAGTTCCAACATGCCTTTATTTGATATTATTTATTTTAGCATTTTGTCACAAAAAATGTGCTATTTTGTGTTATTTATCACTTTTAGATTAAGAACAAGGGGCAGATGGATCAGAAAATGATGGACCAAGAAAAACAGGTTTGGATTTTATTTTTTGTCACTGATGAAATGAAATCTAACATCATTATTGATTTAAAATACTATTAAAAGCTCCTAGTCATTTTAATTGTGCTACATTGTGATGTGACAAGGATCACGGTGACATGGAAACATCACACAATGAAAGTTGCTGGGAGATTTTAAAAGGGCCACAATGCTTTTGTTTTTTTAATATAGGTTTTTGTGCATGTAAATGAAGTTTCTCTCCCACCTGGGCTCTGGTTTCAGACAGAGATGTGTAATCAACAATAGAAATGAAACATGCCACCTGTGCCTCCCTTCCAGACACAACATACTGTATTCTCTGCTGTGAACCCTTTGGCAACAAGCTTCACCTCCAGCATAACGTCCAGCTTGGCCTCCAGCATCGGCTCGGATAGTTCTTCACCCACCACCTTATCAACCATGAATGCAAAAGCCACTCCTTTCTATCCGGGGAGCAACACTGTGGAGTCAGTCATAGGTATGTGTTTTGTTAAGTCCACTGCGAAGCCACTGAGCTGCCTACTGCCGCTCTGCATTTTGTTTAAAATGTCAGCCAGATGTTTTCCGTTTCGCCTTAGGATCCGCTCTGGACCTGAACTTCTGTGACATCAATGTTGCATCTCTGGATAAGGAGCTGGAGGAGCAGGACAACAGTATGGGATTTGCAAGTAAGGACACGCAGTTTGTTAAAGTGCATTCAGCTGTCAAACACAAGTGGTCTCATGATATGCCTGTAAATTATAAAAATGTAACAGCAGTGTTTCGGTTGTCCCCACAGGACAGAGGATGCTGGGTGGCTCCGCTCCTGTGAACATTCCTGGCTCTCTGGGCCGATCTTCCTCCTTTAACTCGTCCTCCTCGCTCTCCACCTCCCCGCTCAGCTCCCTGTCTCAGTCTCTGTCGCAGTCCCTGCTCGCTGCCTCCATATCGCAGCAGAATCACCCTTCCAACATGTTAGCCAAGCAGGAGCACAGCCTGCTGGGAACTCCCACCTCCTCTTCCCAGAATTCTTTAGGTGAGCCGATAGCATCAGGCATTTTGTTCCGCGTGAGCTGGGAAGCATTCGACTTCAGATTTGAATCTCAGTCTTATATGGCAATGGAAATAGTTGAACTCGTACACAGTGAGAACAAAAGTAATATCCAAATCATGTGCAATATAACGTTTTCAATACTTTTTACAAAACTCTTTTTATCATGCAAAATATTACTTTTTATGCTAGTTTTCTTATTATACTAATTATACCTTACTATGAAATACTATTTTGCACTGGTGTTGGCATAACACTTTATAAATGTTTTTTTTACTGTTTAATTCTCATGTTATTCACTTTTCTAGTTTACTTTACATTACATTTTTTCTTTCTCTTATTGCTAAAAATGTTTGCAGTGGTGTCTGTATTAATTCTTTATAATTATCAAGCTATTTATTATGTTATTGTTTTGAGCAATCTCTCATCTGAATTTACTTTGAGGTTAATACAGTTCTTATCTTATTATCTTTCTGCAATATTTAACCTCTTTTTTTTTTTTCAATAATATTCAGATTTTAGCGTAATTAAGTATGGAGCATTTTTTTCAACCTTCCAGAAGTTACGCTGAGAAATATGTCTTTTAAAGTTACTGGAAAGATGCCGTTTCTCTGAACTAAATCACTAGCAATTAGACATTGGTCCAAATGATTGTAAACAACTATCCACTGCTTGTTCTTATGACTTGAACACTTCTCCCCTAGGCTTGAACGGCGGGGCCAGCAGCATTTGGGACTTTGTGAGTGGCAGCTTCTCTCCGAGCCCCTCTCCAGTCTTCAGCAGCCTGACGTCCAGCGCCAGCAGTGCAGATCTGGCTCGGCTCTTTAGGGACCTGGACGAGGCCAAGAGGAAGATCAAACAGTGGGAGGAGGCCTGGCACCAGGTCAAACAAGTCAGTGATGTAAACTAACTCAATTTAAAGGTCACCTATTATCAGTGATGCAAATTAGTCGCTTTTCGGCGCCTCCCGCTTTTTTAACGCTGCTTTGGGTGACTTGTGTAATTCGTGGAGAACCGAAGAGTTTTCGTTTTTTGGGGGGGAGGGGGGTCCGTCAGTCCGTCCGTTAGTCCATCCGACTGACGGACAACTTCTCACTTCAAAAAAGAAGAAGAAATCTAGATCGCAAAATAATTAAACAAGCGAGTGCCTGTTTTTCCTGGCCAAGGACAGGTTTCTTGAACACAACACGAGCGTAACGTGTCTTCATATGTCTCGTCTGAAAGGAGTGTAGACTAGAGTGCTTACGGAGAGCACCGGAACGACGCTCCAGCTCTTCAAATATTGCAGTACCCATAAGGAGCCGTACACATGCCGCAGTGTTTGCGTGGATGTGTCTTTAGTTGTAAGCACAGTGGCGATCTGTTGTTATTAGCATCTGGTTAGCTAGCTATGCTAACGAATTTAAAGAGCTTTTCTACAACCAGGTGGAAGAGAGCTCTCTCCTGAGAGGCTCAAATAACCTCAGCTCAGTGAGGTTAAGGCACACCTTGATATGATCATTATAATTATTAATGAGACATTAGACTAAATGAAAAACAGGTATAAAATACTATATGACAGTAACAAAAAAGTTGTTAACAATAACAAGAATAGAGTTTAAAAGGGGAGTGATTTGTAAAATATCCAAAAAGAAAGATCTGCTTACAGTTCTGTTTCAAATGGGTGTTGAGAGATGTATCCATAGATCTCCTCATGTTGCTCTCAAAGTGCACCAGATTGATGCTTTTAACTTCAACATTTAAAAAAAAATCTTCCCGTGGGAGCATGCCCCCGGACCCCCCTAGAGGAGGTTAGGTCCCCCACCCCTGCCTTAGATGAAAATAAGGAGGATGTTTATGTACAAAAGTGGATTTTGCATAATACAGTGATGCAAACACAGGTATGGTGAAAAAGAGAGAACTATTCGAAGCAGGAAAAAAACAGCGTAATATACCATCTGACAAAGGCCTGTGCTCGAATCATGTGAAAATATTTTGGATTCAAGAGGTTGCATTTTCTTTGCACAGCATGAAAGAAAGGGCCAAGATGCAATGGCGCTGTGATTTTAAGTTTTTTTAGAAGAGGTTGAGTTCAATAAATNCTGTAAATAATAATAAAAATCCTTGATTTATAACATCTCTGTCTCTATTGATCTGAGTATATTATAAAAAATAGCCAGTTAATTGAAGCATTATAGCACAGGCCTTTGTCAGATGGTATATTACGCTGTTTTTTTCCTGCTTCGAATAGTTCTCTCTTTTTTCACCATACCTGTGTTTGCATCACTGTATTATGCAAAATCCACTTTTGTACATAAACATCCTCCTTATTTTCATCTAAGGCAGGGGTGGGGGACCTAACCTCCTCTAGGGGGGTCCGGGGGCATGCTCCCACGGGAAGATTTTTTTTTAAATGTTGAAGTTAAAAGCATCAATCAGGTGCACTTTGAGAGCAACATTCAGAGATCTATGGATACATCTCTCAACACCCATATTAAACAGAACTGTAAGTAGATTTTCTTTTTCTTTATGGATATTTTACAAATCACTCCCCTTTCAAACTGTATTTATTTATTGTATTTGTTTATTAATAACAACTTTCTTTTACTGTCATATAGTATTTTATACCTTTTTATTCTCTTCTTTTTTTATAATGATCATATAAAGATGTGCTTTTACCTCACTGGTTGTAGAAAAAGCTTCTTATATTCGTTAGCATAGCTAGCTAACCAGATGCTAATAACAACAAAGTTATTGACTGTATGATCAGTATGACAGATGAACAGATCGCCACTGGGCTTACAACTAAAGACACAGCCATGCTAAAACTGCGGCATGAGTACGGCTCCTTATGGGTACTACAATTTCTGAAGTGCCGGAGCGACGTTCTTTTACTGCTCTCCGTCAGAACTGCACCCCTGTCAGACGAGACATATACCACGTGATGACACATTAGGCTCGTGTTGTGTTCAAGGAACCTGACCTTGGCCAGGAAAAACAGGCACTCGCTTGTTTAATTATTTTGCGGTCTAGATTTCTTTAATTTCTTTTCTTTTTTGCGTGTGTTTATAAATTACCTCGAGGGCCGGACCAAATGGTCTCGCGGCCCGTATACGGCCCGGGGGGCGGAGGTTCCCCACTCCTGATCTAAAGTAACAGACAGAGAATCAGCACTTTTGAAACAGGGCTGAAACAGAGGGGATTATGGGATGTTACAATGATCTGTTTGCTATTTGGAGCAAAACACTTCAGAGACATGTTTTGTATATATCTGAGACCTATAATATATTGATGAAAAACAGTCTAATAAGGGACCTTTAAGACACCTCTTAGCTTATGGGTTTGTATGTAATGGCAACTCTTTGTTCCAGGCCTGTGAAGCTTGCCAGAAAGACACTCTGGAGGCAAAGGAGCAAGCGAAGACGGCCGAGGCGGAGCGGCAGCTGGCCGAACAGAAGTGGGAGGAGACACAGCGCAAGCTCAAAGAGCTCCAAGGGGACTTTGACGCGCTCTGTCGCACCCCGGGGACGCCGCTGCTACGTAGCTATGGAGAGCTGGACGAGCTCCCCTTGTCAAAGCTCCACTCGCTCCAGAGTCAGCTGCGTAATGACCTAGACCTTATAGACGGGGTAAGACAGAATAGATCACACATAGAATTTCACTTTTAGCATCTAGTTTTTAACGGGTTTATCAGAGCTACGTTTTGCCATGCTAATTTGAACAATCTGCATGAAGTGTTTCCCTAAGTTGCGGCTGATATCCATTCTCTTCTTTCCCCCACAGGTAATATATCAGCTTCAGTCAAAGAAATGTATAGTTTGCCAAAAGCATGATCGTTGCATTGTCCTGCAGCCTTGCCAACATTATGTACTATGTGAGAACTGTGTGCTTAGTAAAACAGAATGTCCCTACTGTAGAACAAAAATAGTGAAGTGGTGATGTACAACTAGTCGAGGTACTATTTAAATATAAGTCCTTTGAAAAACTGCTAATAGATATGACCATTTTTCTAAATAGCAATGTCTGTTTCATACAGTGATCGAATACATTTAGAATAAGATTATGTTTGACTGACAAACAAATAGTATTATCAATCAGATTGTGTACAGGGGATGAAATCATTCATAGTTTTTGCTCATTTTATGTGCACATGACCTTGTTCAGCCAGGTGGGTTTCTGTGTGAAAATCCATGCAACCAAATTAGAATATTAAATTACATCGCAATGCAATTTCTCAAATCATGACACTAAAAGACATTCATCTTGTGTCCAGATTTGTTGACATACACAATATGCAGGAATACTTTCCCCAAACAAAATACAAATATGCAAACCTGACAGAAAATGCATAATTACAGATAACAAAAAAGAAATGCTAATGAGACCACTAAACTTGCTTAAAATCTGTATTCTTTAAGACATGAATGAGTATAAGTTGTATTTCTATCCTCGTGTTTTACTGTTTATTGATTGGAAATACTTCACTGCACTTTGAATTATTGTGGATACATCTCTGATCTAATCCACCCAGAGCAACGTTTCAGAAATACTGTGGAAATGTAACAAATATGCTTCAAACCTGTTGACTTAAGACACATCATATCCTTGTTTTGGAAGAAATAAATACTATAAAACGTACTCACTGTAACTGTATAATCATATATATAGTGAGAAGTTCTTCTCATACTGTAAGGTCACTTCTCAATCTTTCTGGTGGTGGGAATAGTTTGATCCAAAGGACTCCCACACAACAGTAAATACAGATACAGCCATTGATGATAGTGTACCGCAGTAGCCAGGGCCTCAGGTATTTCAGGTTTTAAAATGCAAAGGGGTCACTGTGTGGATGTTTCCAACGTACTGCCAGGGACAGCGTGCTGATGTTAAACATAAAATGGGCAAAACTCAAAGCAGTTTTTTCTTTACCTAAAGAGGAATACGTACACTGAATCCATCAAGACACAAGACATCAAAGAACCTATATCAGATAAACATGTTTTGGGGGAAGCCCATTAACACAGCATGGAGATACCAAAACTGACGTGTGGAAAACGTGTCAAATATACACAAATATAGGTCAAATGTACAGGCTGTTAGCAATGAATACATACACAATAAACACATAATATTTGTATTATTGCATTTAACACTAAGGGGAGTTACTGATGGGAAACACAGCAAGATTTGAAGTGTTTTCCAACAATATAAATTATTTGCAGATTTTCTAAAGAAATCACATGTGTCTGTGAATCAGTGTTCCTCTTTAAGTGAAGCCACATTTTGATTAACATTCTTTTTGAAATCCTCCCAGTCAAGCATCATTATTTTGACCAACTCAAGAAGTTAGATTTCTTCTAAAAGCACTTTGTTACCTGGGACTTTCTTAAAGGGTACATAGAATTGAGCTTTAAGCGGCTTTGTAGGTATCCTTTTTGTTGATTTCTAATTTCTAAGTGTTTTCTATATAAGCTAATGTCTGAAGTTTCTGAGTGTACTGTGAAACATCATTTAGATATTTCATGTTTCCTATTGTTAAATCATGGCATGGTTCAACATCTTATTAAGATTTCATAGAAAAGTACTTACTAGTTTCTACTTTCATAGTTAGATTTATAAAACAATTCAATCAAGCAAGTGCAAATGTAACATGCATTGAAGGCATAACCAGCAGCTGTAATGTCAGTAAGGCACATGCTACATGTTAAGGCTGTTTTTCAATCCGTTACTTTAGTTTTGTAGAGATGTCTATAGGCTAGCCTGTTAGAGAAGCATGTATTGTATTTGCTAAAAGCCTGAGATGGTGATTTTTGTAGGAATCTAGCCTCTTGACCTAGAACATATCGGCCTCTAACTCTAAAGTGCCTTCAGTGAAAAAGGTTATGTGTAGAATTGTCACAAGTATTCAAAGCTTGTGCAGTTTAACTTTGCAGAAGCATCAACATGCGTATGACTATATACGTGTATATATACATTTATGCCAGTGTATTTGGCCCAATCCCATTAAGTATTTCAGCGGTAGATAATGGAAACAATGTCGTCGTCGTCCCCCGCCACACACTCATTCCTCGGCGTGGTGCTCTTTCGGTGCAGCTGCAGTCGTTGAAATTAGGTTTTTCAAATTCAATGCTTGGGAGTATGCAAACAGGACAGATGTATTTGTATAGCAACGTATTAAAAAATGATTTGTTTTAATTGTAATGATTTTGCCGTGAATTGAGAGTTCTGTGGGTAAAGTGTAAGTTGGGTAGGTTCCTCTGTTTGAAATGACCTTCTACTGTGTTAAAGAAAAGATTATTCTTGCGTATTATTCAATATATAAAATCATGGTACACTTTTTGCTACTTCTTAATATGGGAAATATTTGAGCATTTAATGATGACGTTAAATTGCATAAAAAGCAGGCTGATCATTTCTAGTATTGCATGTTATGCGATATGTTAACCAGCTACAAAGAAAAGAGGGAAACACATTTCTGTGTCACTGCCAGGATATTTGTATTGACCTATCTTTAGTGTAGTAAAGGCTTAATAACTTCTGCGAGCTTCGCTGCTACTGGAAAAGGTATTCATGTAGTTTCTTGTTATTACATTTAGATGTTTGAATGTCGTCGTGCACAGCTCAGATTTTTAGAAACTCTATCATCTGTCTGACTTGACTTGTTAATGATTTGTAAATCCATTCAGTCCTTTTGTATATCAATAAGAATGATCTCACAGATTGTACTGCCATAGATTGTACCTTTAGGTTATTTTTGTCAGAATTATTTCCCCCATACGCTGGGTAGCAGTGTACGGAGCAGGGTCTGCTTTGCTTTAGCTGTGAAGCCAACTCAATGAATGATGTCGTGTGCGGAAAATCAACCAAAGTGGTGTTCTAGTAGCTGTCCAAATACGTTTTCAAAAGGGGAAATTACCCTTGGAATAAAACAATTTCTAAGATCTGCCTGTAGTCATGAAGGCCATCCAGATAAAACAAAAAATAAAATGGCTGTTTTTGAATGGATTTTTGCTGTAATACGTCATTCAGTAACGGCCCGTCCACACTACAGCTTCAAAAAAAGCTTGCCGGCGGGCGTGTCTGAAGGTCGACCAACAACCAATCACATGAATCTCCCGCCCCTGACACACAAGCAGCGGTTTGATTGGCTAGAGCTTGTACTGGCATATGATTTGATTGGCTGACGCTTCCATCGAAAGCTTCAGAAGCTTCAAAAGTTGAACATTGCTCAACTTTTGCAGCCTGAAACGCCAGGAAAGCTCCGCTCTGCTACCCACAATTCAGTTCGGCGAAAAGCGAGGCAACGTCGAAGCTGTAGTGTGGACGGGCCGTTTAGACTTCCTGGTAGAGAGTAACCAACAGGAATATGCCAATGGCTTTTGCTTACAACATCAATGGACTCATTTTCTGCAGATTTACCAAAGACCTAAACTGTTGTTCTTTGTTTTTGTACTACATTTCATTTTTTTTTTATTATTTCAGTAAGGACACCTAAATAGATAATTTTTTTTAGTAATCACCTAGTACCTTAAATAGATAATGTTCATCAAAAGTGCATGGGTCCTTATAAAATGTGTATTTGTATATTTGATTGTTGTGCTATGTATACATTAATGGCAGGTTTGTGCAATACTGGCTAGCACAAGCCGACTCGAGTGAGGATTCAGTGTCAGTTTAATGTCGTCAACAGTGAAGGAATGTCACCGTGATGACATTTGTGCTTCGGAAGTGGCCATGTAAACGGTTTGTCGTTTTAGCTTCACGAATAATCTCAATCACTTTGGAAATTGATGGTTATGCATTATATGCTGTTATGGTAGGCCTACAGTGAACGGTGCTTTTTCTCTCTGACTCTTTGTTTTCTATCTCTTTGAAGCTGTGGTCCAAATGAGTTTTTGTACAATGACGGGACAGGTGATGATTGTGACAAACGTTAATGGCAGATACAGACATATAATTCAAACTGAGTTCTTGTTATGATAATTGTTTGTCTCTCTTGTGGTCTACTCGCCCCAATTCAAGTTTTTTTTAACATGAAAGAAACATTCACTTGATAAGCACAGCTCGCATTTCTTTAGATTTGTTCAATTTATCTAACAGACCAATTACTTTCAAGTACATCTGTGCCTTTAATAATCGCATTATATTGATTGGTATCCAGAGAAGATGTCAGAAGTTGAGACACATTTGCTCTCAAATTGCTTAATTAGATCCAAAATTCCAGTGCCTTACGATATTTAGACCATTCTGTGAACGCTAGATGACCCTCGAGGATTCAGGCCACATGAGCTGAATGAAAAACGGCTGTAATTGAAAAATAATCGTGTATCTCAGTCTGTATTTGCCATACGATATAAAAAAAACGCAGCAATACTTGCTGAACTACCATTCAATTCATTTTGATCTCAATGAGTCATTTGGCACCAAAAAGTCAATTTGTTTGTTAGAAAAGCACCAACGGGGAAGACTCTTGTAAATGAACTGTAATAGATGTATCATTATGCTCTGCATTGGAAGTTTAATCATTATTGTTATTGTTAGTTGTTTTTGTTTTTTTATTATTATGAAAGATGGGGCCTGAAGATTTATGCAATCTTGTACATGTAAATGATGGAGCTGTTCAAATTAAGCAAAATGCTAGAACGACACGTGTTGTCAAACGTAAAGAATTTGAATGGGGAACCAGCTGTTCCATACACTTTAGAAAATGTCATGTTATTTTAACATTGAAGCCCTGAAATATTGAATGTATTGTTCTAAATGAGATATTCAATGATAGGATATTATGGAGCGCCAGTCATTCATTATGATGTAGCATCTAGTTGTGAACCGCTCGCTATTCAATAAAATGAGAACTCAAACAAATAAAGGTTTGCAAGTTTCTATTGGTCAGCATAACGAGGAAGGATAAGGAAAGAAATGTATTTTTCTTAGTGATTTAAAAAATAATTAGTTACATCTGAGGAAAGTGCATTTCTGGGATTATTTACTGAACAACAGTGGGTTTAGATCTTATTTATAGAATAATCAATATGTCCCTTGTTTTGTGACCAGCTGTATGGATATGTAGGAAATTCTCTACTGATAGTCTTAGAAATGATTCTCTTGGTATATTGATATGTTTTGTGTTGTGAACACAGAAATAGGTGCAAGTCTTAGTAAACTAGTTCTTTTCTACATTGAGGATTGTGTACAGCATATTTTCTGTAGTGTATCACTAGTTGAACACTTGTTGAATTGTTACACTACAGTTATGCAATGGTTTACAGAGTTATCACAATTATTTTTATCATCTTGAAAATTAAAATAATTTTTCATTTGAAATGTGTGAATACTTTTTGTCTCAAACACAATTTTGGAAATACTGAATATGACACAAAAAAGAAGAAGTGGAAACCAGGGATAACACTTTATTCAGAACAGCAACTTGGAAACATGTGGATATTTTCTGAATAATTTGAATTTTAAATTACATATTTCGTAACATAATATAAAAAGGCTGACAAATACATTGGCATACTTTTACATTTTATGGTACATTTGTTTGGCACTTCTCTGTTGACAAGTCATCAAATAGAAAGCCCATCAGCTGCTCGGCCTGGAGGAGAAACAACATATTCCTGTTAAGGTGACATACCATAATAAAATAACATCATGACAGTACAACACATCTCAACACCTGGGTGGTTTACATAATGCAGCTACTACCTGTTAATGCTCATTCATTAACCCTCCTATTGTCTTCTTCCCCCCCCCTTAATTTGGTGTTCGCGGTCAAATTTGACCAGTCCTGTTTTAACTGCTATTACATTATGACAAAAACCATTAATCATCACCAAATTTCATTTAACACCCTTTCAAACTGTAAGTATTGTATCAGACTACTGGTACACATGAAAAACTGTAGTAAAGAATAGACACTGAACATGTATTGCGTGTGCCAGGTGTGATCCATGTTGGGGGATGGACACATAAGAGCGGGAAATGGGTCAAATTGGTGTGTGTGTGTGTGTGTGTGTGTGTGTGTGTGTGTGTGTGTGTGTGTGTGTGTGTGTGTGTGTGTGTGTGTGTGTGTGAGAGAGTGAGTGTGAGTGCCAGGTGTGATTCACATGGGGGGATGGGCACGTAAGGGGGGGAACACATCTAGAGTATGTGTGTGTGGGTGTGTGTGTTTTTTGTGTCTGATCCGGATGGTTACTAATTCCTTTTCTTTATGGCGGTCATTTTTGACTGGGAACAACATGGGTGTTACAAAGTTGACTAAATCATCCAAAATTCAATGAAAGTGGTGGTAAGCCATTGTATATGTTCAAATGTCTACTGTGAAGGATATCATAAAGCCTCAATGCAACCGAATCTAAAACAAAAAAGTTATGATTGATGAAAGTAGTAAATTGGTCAGATTTGACCCGAACACAACAGGAGGGTTAAGAGTAAGTAAATCAAGTAATTTACCTCTTTCTGAGTCTCTGGGTAGATCATCATTTCCCCCACTTGTTCCAGGTCTGTCCTCTCCTTGTAAATACTAATGTCACAATGAAAGTAATATTAAACACATGAATATGTATAAATATGCTACATGCACACACAATAGATTTTAATTGTGTTTTTTTAATACCTTTCAAGGATTGAGTTAAAGCCGGTCACAACAGCTTTCCCTTGCAGAGCCACGATGAGACAGGGTACCGCGGGAAGATGGGACCACTAAGCAGAGACAGGAGACAAGGGGATTCAGTACAAATAAAGCTCTGGTTAAGTACAATTCATAAGTTAAGAAAGAGTCTGTCAGCAGTAAGAGTCCTAATTTCCAAATCTTACTCAAATGAAGAAATAAAAAAAAGTGCTGAAGCAAAAGTATAAATGCTGAATGGCCCACATGTAATATTACTGAATTATGTGATTATAGAGTGATGCGTTAATGTGTTTATGACTCATACTGCTGGTTAGATTTAAGCTATACTAATGCATCATTATTTTTACATTTTGCACAAATAATCTGAATCCAAAGTAATAACAAACAAATATATGTTGCTAAGTAAAAAGCACAATGTTCCTATCCAAAGTATAGTAGAGAAAGTAGCATATATTACAATACTTAAGTAAATTGAGTTCTTCAGGATTGTACTTAACCACAGTACTTGAGTAAATGTATATACTTAAACTCCATCCCTGTGAGACAATGAGCTCTCAAGCTAGTCGGTTTAATGATGGTCTTCTCACCACTTCCTCTCCTCTGGAGGACATCAGGGTCTCAGCGATGTGTCTCCTCTGCTCAGGGTCCAGCAGGCTCATCCTCCCAACCACCAGATGGCACCCCCCCCCCAGCAGCCGCTCCAGCAGCTCCAGGTGGGGGGGAGCCCCGCTGAGAGGGGGGGCGTTTACCGGTATCAGCAGACAGGTCGTCTGCCAGGCAGAGCTGTGTAGACCTGGTACCAACAAACAAGAGAGACAACATTTGTTTTGTCCATGACTAACAAGGTCATCTGGATGAGAGTCATATTTCAACATCCAGTCGCTGCCAAAGTCTCAATAAATGATGAAGTAAGACCTATTTCACTTTAATAAATGATTGAGCTCCCCAACATTTGATGACTTGACTTTAAAGTGTGAATGTAATGCCAAGAAATCCTGCACAGCCAATGCAACAACTAAAGTTATCAATGCATTTAGCAGAGGTGGGAAGTAGTGGAGTACAAATACTTTGTTACTGTGCTTCAGTAGTATGTATTTCTAGTATCAGTACTTTACTCCACTACTTATTTTTCTGACGACTTTTTACTTTTACTTCACAAATAACTGTACTTTCTACTTCTTACATTTATGGGTACTTTTGACAGTACATTTCGAAGCAAATACTTCTTTACTTTTACTTGAGTAAAGAAGGTCATTCAGTACTTCTACTTTTACCAGAGTATTTAAACATGAGTATCTGTACGTCTACTTGAGTAAAGGATGTGTGTACTTTTGCCATCTCTGGCATTTAGTCTGATAATAAAAATAAAACAAGACATTTAGTCCACACCTCCATTATGTCCCGCTGCCATGGAAGGTGCCCCCCCCTCCTGGTCCACAGAGGCCCGAGTGCAGCTCTGCCCCCGCTCCAAAGAGGCTGAAGGGTCTGAGCGCAGGCTGAGTATCTGAGAGGAGAAACCGAGCACAAACTGAATGTCTTTGATCTGTAGAAAGGGCCACCTCAGTTCTGAGTAGTCCTGTGTGTGACATGCATACCTGCTCCTGTCTCATTGTGCTGCTCTCAGAACAGCACAGCCCCTCTGGAAAGAGCCTCCTCACATCCTGAATCGCTTTCTGATGTGATGCCGATCCTAAAATAGTTCATGATTAATAATAATAATAATAATTAATTACATGTATTTTAGCGCTTTACATTACATATTACATATATTAGACATGTATCAATGAATACTGTGGACAATCCCCACAGAAGCAAATTAGGGTGAAGTGTCTTGCCCCAGGACACAACGGCATGTTGACTGCAGTGGCGGTCGAGTTGGGATTCGAACCGGCGCCCCAAATATAGGCATTACAAACACTTAAAGAACGGCAATGCAGGTTTATATGGATGCACAATATTATTTCTTTTTTTAGCCAATACCCGCAACCTTTAATTTCCTGGTTCGAATGGCCAACACTGATATGATGACTGATTGTTTCCAAAAAAAATTCATAAACTCTATTCTATCTGAATTTTACATAATAATATCACTTTACCAAATGTAAGTCTATAATTTATCAGTTCAAAATAATATATATTGTGCGTCCCTTATTTGTATAGAACATAATAACAATGCACTTGTATATTATTATACACATAGAAATATAACACAGTATGCAGAACAGGGACGTACCATAGATGCCAGTGTTTGAATGAGCCACATCCAGCAGCTTCGTCACGGCCCCCTCCCCCTGCAGGCAGAGAGCCAATGAGGGGCCAGAGCACATGTACTCCACATCAGGGTCCTGCACAAAACAATTTACACAAATATCAAGGCTGAGGAATGTTGATAGTAGCACAGCGTATTTGTCGGGCAGATCATATTTCTTAGTTACATCTTCTGCAGGCAGCAGTGAGGAGGCCGTGTGTTTGTCCAGAGTCAGGACGCGCAGGCCCACCAGAGAGAGGCCCCTCAGCTGGAGGGTGTGCACGGTTTGAGCCACACTTTGATTCCAGACTGTTGGCTTGAGCAGGCACACAGTGAGCAGCGTCTGAGGCTCTGAACAGGGGAGGGAATGTTCCAAAGTGATATTGACATGCCGCTTTAATACAGTCTTAAACACAACTATGTGCCCAAAAAAGTTAGATCTTGTATACATATAATAATACAGTTCTCCAGTATTATACACAAGCCTGGGCTGCACAAAATATACTGGTCCTCAGATTTAGATTTCACTTGTGGGACGGTGTACTAGGACTATTTAAGGTAAAAAACAAAATGGAGCCAGAGGAAAAATTCTCAGTTTCCAAGATTAAAGTTGATTAGAAAATAATCAGATACCATCTGAGGTTTTTAAGTCACATTTAGGAACGTTTTTGTCCACTAGCAAATTACAACAAATAAATGTCATTCTTATTTCCTGTGTTCCGTAGTTTTTAGAAATCTACATTAAGCTATCACTACATAATATTATCAACATATTATCACAACAGGCTAAACATGCTTGCGGTAATAAGAATTACATTTGATTTTAAGATCAGGTTGTTTTGCTTTAAACACAAGAGAAGATAGAAGTGCGTAATGAGCACTGTCCTTCATCTTCGGTCTCAATGACTTCAAACCAGATCATCCCTCAAGAGATGAAGCTGTGGATTCTAATGTTTTGTTTCTACAGCACTGACCTTTATTATATTTTTTATTTGACTATATTTTTTCTTATTTTTTAATGTTATCATAGTGTTCTTAAAACAGTTCTGGATCTGTTTTTTTTACATTTTTCTTTTATTTTAATGTACTGTATGCACAACGACACCAAGTCAAATTCCTCGTACATGTCAACCTACCTGGTAATAAACCCGTTTCTGACCTACCAGCAATCATCTCATTCTGGAAGAAGAAGAGGGAGGTTTGTCTGAACGCCACTTCCTGTGTGGGGGACATCAGGATGCTCAGGTTACCGGGGTAATCGTTTGGTAGAAGGTTTCTCAGTGAAGCAAAAGCATCCACCCATCTGAGAGCACACAGGAGGGCGGGGGGGGCCATCAGAGAGTCCAGGCTGTCGTTATAGAGCTTCTCTCCCACCTCGTACGGACTCAGCTCCTGAGCCTGCAGCCGGGTCAGCGCAGGCAGCCACTTCAGAGCAAGCAGATCCAATCCTTTTTCACCTTGAATATCAATTTAAAAAACATTGCAACTATTGAAAAATACAGATGTGAAGTAAGATAAAGGCACACTATGTGTATTTCTTCCATTAGGGGTCTCTCAATCAAACCAACAACAGAACACGGGTGACTTTGTGAACTATGTTTCTCTGATAACTTCAGATCTAGATGTCCAATGACTAACATCCATGATTTTGTAAAGAATGTATAGTTAAAAAATACCAAGATCAAAGAAATATAGTTTAAAACTGGTTCTTAAAACCGAATAAAAGGTTAATTTATGGCAGCTTCTAGCAGATAATCACCATGCTGCAAAACTACAGAGAATTAAAGGCATCAATCATCAAGAACATCATTTTAACGCATCATTTACGTAGGTAAACAATTTAACACAATATATAACATCGGTCTAGTAATTTTAAGACATCTTAATGTGGAATAGTTACATATTAACGCTTTAAAAGAATTCTGATGAAACACTTCCCCCGCATACTTGCTAATCTGTTTGTTTGTTAAACTGTGTAGACTGCGGTGTGTGTTTAATAGTGCATTTTGTTTGTTTAGTGCCTCCTCCAGTTCTAAGTAGGACAATCTGTCCTCAAACCCACCGTCTGGCCCTCCTGTCAGCGCTCTGTGTAGGAGGCTCAGACCCCGGGTCATGTCCTTCCCACTCAAGGTCAAAACCACCACCTGGTCCACCTCAGGGTCGGGTGGGCTCCTCTGATGGGACAGGATCACAGTGGAAGGGTCTGGCACCGCCCACATACACCTGACTAAGAGGAAAATGAACATTAGAAACAGAGGATAGTGTACTTCTTCTGGACTTTGAACACACGTTGCTCACCAAAGATGTGGTGCTGGTGACTGCTGTAAGGCACAGTGTGGAACCAGGAGCTTGGTTCTACTGTGTCAACACCGTCAGGTCCAGAGTGGATGCTACCCAGAAGCCTTTGTGCCTTAAGTTCTCTCATTAGGGCTGAAACAAAAAAGCAACTGCAAGGTTGTTCTATTTTTCAATTGAGAAAGTAACTTTCAATATGATTAATGTAGATTAATTACGCTGTAGATATCATTTGAGATGGTGTACGGACCTGCTGGCAGACTGACACTGTGGTGCGCTGCATTTTCTTTCCTCAGTAACAACACCAGACAGTGAGAGGGCGACTCCAGTTGATCCTGATCCAGGGTCAGAGGATGAGGACTGCAGAACACAGGTGCCTAGATAAAACACACACAGATTGTGATTAAAAAGAGCCGAAATATTTGTTTTCTCAGACCTCACCAGCAGTTAACTTGGCCCACATTGAGGTGCATTTGCCTCAAAGGCCACAATTGTTCCATCAGCAGCTCCAAGGTCTAGCAAAAATACATTCTCCTTTTAAAGGGGCCCTATTATGCTCCCTTTCAGGTTCCATCATTGTTTTGTGTGTCTCTACTGTGACATGTTTACATGATTTAATGTTCACAAAGTTCCTCTTTTCACCCTATTTGAAACGCGAGCCCAGTCTGCTCTGATTGGCTAGCTGGCCAGCTCTTTGATGATTGGTTAATAATCACGTACAATGTGTTAGAGAGCTAGCGGTGTTACATAATGTCACTATGTTATGGAAGTAAACAAAGGACTACAATGGAGGAGTTTTAGGCAGGGATGGGAGAGAAACTCCCTCTGGAGGAAACTTGGATTTTAGCCTTAGCAGACCATTTACATGCACTAAAACATATAACACACTACAGGAAAGGGAAAACCAAAAAAGCGCAATAGGGCCCCTTTAATATCTGTAAGTGTCTCCAGTAAATATTACATTTCTCTACAACTATAGTAGTTGTGTACAATATAAAATATATTCCTTAATTATTACCCAGCTAGCGGGGAACGTTCTCACAACTTTGGCTAACGTTACCTATTGGTTCTAACAAGGTTTTAAAGAAACGTTTTTAATCTGATGTTCAAAGAACCTTTTTAGGATGTTTATTTGTTCAAATAATGTTCCTATAAGGTTTAAGGTTAACTGAGACATAACGTTTTAACTGCAACGTTCAGAGGATGTTTTGAGGATGTTATTAAGGCCTGAGATGACAGAAAGTTTTTTTATAAAACGTTCCTTTAATGTGATATGTTAATAAAGGTGGAACGTTTTGCCTGCAACATTCTAAGGACGTGTTTTGGACGTTGTTGGGTAAAACATTAAAGATGTTCTTTATAAAATGTTCCCTCAATGTTACATGATAACAAATGAAGAACATTTTCAAAGCAACATTCTGAAAATGGTTTTCAGGATGTTATTGAGGCCTGAGATGAGAGAAAGGGTTTTATAAAATGTTCCCTCAATGTTACATGATAACAAATGAAGAACATTCTCCAAGAAACATTCTGAAAATGTTTTCAGGATGTTATTGAGGCCTGGGATGACAGAAAGTGTTTTATAAAATGTTCCTTTAATGTGATATGTTAACAAAGGTGGAACGTTTTGCCTGCAACATTCTAAGGACGTGTTTTGGACGTTGTTGGGTAACACATTAAAGATGTTCTTTATAAAACGTTCCCTCAATGTTACATGATAACAAATGAAGAACATCCTCAAGAAACATTCTGAAAAATGTTTTCAGGAAGTTATTCTTTTTTTATAAAAAGTTCCTGTTATGGCAAATATTAACACGGTCATGGTCAACGTCAGATTTATTTCTAGAGCGCTTTAAAAAACAAACTTAGTTGCATTTGTTTGAAAAGGATGTTTTAAAAAAATCTGATGTCACCACTATTTTCCTTTTAGAAAAAAACTAACAAGAACGTAATTCATGATAAGCTGTAACCAGATATTGCATGTTTG